CGAGATCGAACCGGTTCAGGAACGGAATGGAACTGGAACCAGACCGGTGCTAGAACCGGATCAGAACCGGACTGGAACCGGATCAGAACCGGACTGGAACCGGATCAGAACCAGATCAGAACCGGACTGGAACTGGATCAGAACCGGGATGGAACCGGATCAGAACCGGACTGGAACTGGATCAGAACCGGTACTGGAACCGGATCAGAACCAGACTGGAACCGGATCAGAACCAGACTGGAACCGGATCAGAACCAGATCAGAACCGGACTGGAACTGGATCAGAACCGGTACTGGTTTAAAGTGACCCGAGTCAAAATGCTTCTGCAGATGATCGGGCCTGTTGCAATAAATCAATAACTCACATGATAAATTAAAAATCTATCATTTCCGTTTGCATGATTTATCCACCAAAACCTGGATGGTGAAACTTTCCTCTGGTGATCGAAACTAAACTTTTTGAAGGAGAATTTTGTTTATAATTTGTTTGTTTGTTTGTTGTTTTGTTTATTTTTCGGATATTTAAAATGTTTTCCAGTTCCAGAGATAAATGTTGGAATTTAAAGTTTATTGATCTTTACTATGTGAATATATTATATTATTACCGTTATATTACTGGAAAATGGTCTCAAAACATCCGTATTGTCTCTTATCACAATAACTTCAGATTTAGTTATCAGTTCTCCTCCGATGGATCTTAACGTGATTCTGACTGAAACCCGGAAGACGAGCTGGACTTAACGATTCGGATCGATGCGATGTTCGGAAAACTAAACCTTCATGAGATCCAGCTGGTTTATTCAGGGTCTAAATCTGCTGCAGAAACCCATCAAGTGATTCCCTGAAACGTTCCGGACCAGAACCGATGATCCGTCCAGATGGATTCTAATCTAAAACCAAACTGGTTTATCATTTCCTGTTCTTCATTCCAGACTCTGAACTGGAGTGTTTTTTCAAATCCAGATAAAATCTTCAACCTGATCTGGTTCTGGAAGCCGGTTGAACAGAACCAGGCCTGGCTCAGGATGATCTGGAGCTGATCCAGAGGTTCAACCCAATCCAACCCAGATTCATCACTTCAGGAAAAAATAATCCAGGAAGCAAAGAAATGCCAGGAATCTGCCCGAAGAGCAAACCCACCCGGTTTGGAAAACCTCAGGGTCCGAGCGGAACCAGAAGTTCTGGATCTGAACGTTCAGACCGGACCAAGAAAGAGGTTCATCCCAGAAAATCTGATCATTGCATTATTACTGAAAGATGCATTCAACTCATTTTATTTCATTTTTATCACAGCCTGGATTTTCTATCAAGCTTTTTAATGGAATGAGGTTGAGTTTGGGGCCAAAGTAACTTTCATAATGATTTTGTGTTAATAAATATTTTACATTTCCAGTAACCAAGGCTGGTCTCCCATCCTGCGCTGAGCTCTAACAGCCCATAATTTCCTGTTAGCTGGAAAATCTGCAGCACTTTAGATTTTGAGCCTAAACTATCTTTACTTTCTGATTTTCTCTCCAATAACGGATGAAAACAGCGGAGCTGCCGACCAGCCTGCGGCGTCACTGGCTGCCGCTCCTGGAAACATTCCGGGTTTTTCAATTAATAAACTAAAACTACGAGGAACCATTACAGCTTATATTGCGAAAGAATGTTTTAAAGATTTTTTCGGTAAAGATACCTCAAGTTAAAGGAGCTTTATGAGGACGCGGTAAATATTTTATTGATATTCCGGTTTATTTTTAGTTCCCACAAGGTGCCCCATTTAGAAGTTGGTTAGCAGCTGAAGCTAAGAGGCTAGCTGGGTTTTAACTTCACCTGGCGCGGTTCGGCTGGGCTCAGCAGGGCCGAACTGAGCCGTGTTTAGCACCTTTAGCCCAGGTTCCACCCGGGTTCGTGTAGCTCTGCATTTCTGGGTGTTTTATGTGTTTCTATTCAGCTGCAGTTGGAGTTTTTCCTCCTCGGCAGGTTAGCGCACACCGCACTGAAGTTGGCCTCTGACTGAGAACACCTGTAAAGGGCTAGTCCATAGTTTTTAAAGGCGATCAGCTCTGGTTCGCAGACGGCTCCTATCTGGAGTAAATTATTACAGACCACAGAGAGATTCAGAAAGCACAGTTTAGTTATCAGAAAATTTATTTTAATTCTGGTTGTAAAAGTTTTTATACAATTATGATTAGGCTGGATGGAGCTTAAGAACTGGACACGGATTGGATTAATGTATATAATTATTTGTTGCGTGACAGATTATATATAGAGAGAGTCATGGAGATTATGGAAGCAGAAAACATTATTGTATCACAAAATATAAAGAGTACTTTAAGAGCCTGGAGTCAGATTAGAATCACTTGAATTTAAAACTGATTTCAGTTTAAAGTAAACCTGACTTTATTTTACACACAGTTTTGCCTATTTTTGCTTTTGGTGTGGAAAAAAGAAAATCAGAAAATGTAATTTTTAACTTTTTGTTTTGCTTAATTAGAGCAGAAAACTTCAGTCTAACCTAAAGGTTGAACTGTTGGACCCTGGTGGAAACAGAAAGAAAAACTGAGATGAGAATAAACTAAAAGTAAACATTTTTAAACAAATTTGCCTTTAAGTTGTTAAAATATGAAAGGAGCCCAAATCAAACCATCTCAGAGATTCGACTATAATTTTCTAACTTTCAGGGTCAATTCTGATGTTTAGCAGCAGTTATTAGTTATTATTATTGATGAGATTCAATCACAGAAAAACTCCAAAAAGCTTCTTTAATCAGCTGATCTGGCGCCACCTAGGATGCATTCCAAAACCCAGAACCTCTCTGACCGTTCCCCACCACCGCTTCACATCTACTCCCAAACTCGACTGGAGCCCCTTCCCAAAAAGATGAGTTCCTGCCAATGCCTGAGGACATTACAGAAATCCCACCAAGAGAGCAGGAAGGTGCTTTTTATATTTACTGGGAAAAGTACTACATCTATGGAGGGCCAGAAGGGACAAAACTAAACTCCACTATTTAGAAAATCATGGCGGTCATTGCAAATGGAAGAATTTTATGAGCTTTCCCATAATGACAATTCTAAGTTACAGTTAGCAGACAAATCGTAGAACTCATTGTAAAACTAGAGGAAATCAACAAATCTGTATAAGCTCCGCCCCATAATTTTGATGGGCGATTTTTACAGGTAAAATAATAAATTAAGTATTTAATTATTTTATGTTACATTTAGTTAATGGTTTAAATTTGTGTTTTCTTTGTTGTTTTTTTCTTTCATTTCGGCCCTCCGTATGTTTCTTTGTATGAAAAATGTTCACATTAAGATGTATTAAAATAATCAATAAAAAGGCTAAATAAACTCTATGACGCCGTTTCCACACTTAAACACTACAGATTCATATTTTTACAGTGTAGACCTCAGAAGTTCAGAGTTCTTAAAACCTGCGGAACAGCCCTTTATTCCAGCTGCGATTGTGACACCAACTTCAGCCCCTTTTAGCCGTTAGCTTTCAGTCTGTTAGTCTGAAGAAGTGAAAGCGGCTTACCTTTCTTTCTAACGGGCATGTTCTGACTCGGCTCGGTTCAGTTAGGAGCTCAGAACCACACACACACTTCCCGCACAGAGCAGCTTTCCAGTGGTTTTCCCCCCCGTAAAATCCAAGAAAATCCAATTAAAATCCCTCCACGACGACACCAAGTTCCACACCGAGCAAACTTCCTGACCCGTCCAAGAAACACCCCAGAACTGAACCGGTCCTGAACCGGGACAGAACCACGCAGAAAACTTAGAATCCAGAGGGGGGGAGGGGAGCTCCGGGGAGGACCCGACTCTCCGAGCTGCACTTCCCCGCCTCAGAGGCTCCTCCGGCCGGCCAGCAGCGCTCAGGCTGGCCGCTGCTCGGCTCTGGGCTGGAAGTAAAGTGGGAATCTGTTTTCCAGCAGCTGGGATCCGGGATCTGCTCTGCGGCAAAGTCCGCGTTAAACACACCCAGTTTGAGGGCAGGCAGGGAGCCAGGCAGGAGGAGCTGCCCGCCGCTGCAGCTGCTGCTCCGGCTGCAGAGAAGGAGACCGAGCCGCTCCGGAGCTCCGCACCTCCTTCCAGAAAACCCGGGACAAACTTCCAGCCTAGAGGAGGCACTCCTAACTCTGTCCCACCGCCTAATCCCGCACCGGCCCGCACACTTCAGAGCCCTGGAAGCCGCAGCCTGAGAGCTGCATGCGTGTCCCACTCCCCGAGTGGACGAGTCCTCCTGGTTGCTCCTTCCCACTCCTCCTGCTCCTCTCCCTGCAGCCTTCCAGGTCTCACAAATCCCAAACTTTCCTCCAAAATGGCGTCTGACAGAGCTGCAAACGTAAACCATGTGATTCCTGAATCCCTCCCTCCAACCTGGCGCCCAATCATGCAGCTCACCTACAGGAGCAGGAGGAAGAGGAGGAGGAAGAGCAGCAGCAAGAGGAGGAGGAGGAAAAGTTTGGATGAGGAGAAACAGGAGAAACAAAACAGGAGGAAAAAAGGAAAACCGGAAAACTGAACAAGAATCAGGAGATAAAACCAGACCCGGTTGTTCAGTCAACCAGAACCCAGACTTCCTGGTTCTGATCATTTTAAAGCAACCAGTCTGGTCCAGAATCCTGTTCCTCCTGAACCAGCAGAACCTGGACGGGTCCGGTTCTAGTCCAGGTTCTGTCGTTTAATGAGAATTAATTAGAATAAAAAGGATGAATGGATGGATGAACGGATGGATGGATGGATGGATGGATGGATGGATGGATGAACAGATGGATGGATGGATGGACGGATGGATGGATGGATGGATGGATGGATGGACGGACTGATGGATGGATGGATGGAGGGATGGACTGACGAATGGATGGAGGGATGGATGG